AGGCTGGTCTCGAACTCCTGAGCTCAAACAATCTGCCCACCCCGGCCTCCCAGAGTGCTAGGATTACAGGCGTGAGCCACCGCGCCCGGCCTGGCTCACAGTTCTTGAGGCTGGGAAGTGCAACATCAAGGAGCTACATCTGGTGAGGGCCTTCTTGCTGCGTCACAACATGGCAGAAGGTATCACATGACCAGAGAGAAGGAGACAGGAAGGGGGTTGAATTCATCCTTTTATCAGGAATCCGCTCCTAAAATAATCCATTAATCCATCCATTTATGGGGGCAGAGCCCTCATGTCTCTCAACACTGTCGCATCAAGGATTACATTTTCAACACATGAACTTTGGAGGACACATTGAAACATAGCAGTGGCAAAAACAAAACAAAAACGACAAAGAAAAAATAAATCTAAAGAATGAATAAGTAAACAGGGAAATAAACCAAAAGAGAACCTTAAGTTAGATTGGAGATCTCTGTGAGAAGATGATTAAATACTGAAGGTAGACACAGAAATTGTTATTCGTGGACATTTTAACCCTGTATGGATTGACAGGCCTTTCAAGTCTGTCTGCTAGAAAATTCCCATGATCTCATTTCAGAGAAAGTACAGGCTAACTTGACAGGACTGGTAAGTTTTATTGATGACACATCTTGTCATTAAATAGTGTGAGATTTAGTATTTGGTTAGTAAGCACTCAGTAAAGGTTGAGTGAGTGTGTACATATGGGAATAGATCTTCCTCCTCTCTCGCCTCCCCTTTATCTATTCTAAATAAATACTGCAATCTGGTCACAAAATATTTGAATCCTGAAGATTTTTTTATACCTGATCACTTAAACTTACATTTGGGTTTAATTTTATCACCATCATATCTTATTCTTAATTGTTCTTTCAGCTATTCCCTTCAGCCAGCTCCAGCTTTTTATACCTTTCCATTTCAACAAATGATGGCTGAAGCTCCCAGTGTGGCAGTTGCGAGTGAACAGCAAATGCCAGCAGAAGTTCCAGCCCCAGCTCCTGCTGAAGAACCTGTACAAGGTACTTTTCACTGCTTAGAAAATTAGATACTGGATCAACCAACTTATTTTAGAAAGGGTTTAATGATGAATTAAAATTCCCAACTCTATTTTAGTGTTAAAAAATTTAATCTACTTTTTAAGTACTTAGTATGTGCTAAGCACTCTGATAGGTTCTGGGGAATAAAAGAACATGGATTCTGCCCTCGCATATCTCCTAGTCTAGTAGAGAAAGGTAATAAGTAAACACACATTCCACCTCAGCCCACTACGTGGTGAAGAGGAGCACGGGATGGGTGCTCTGAGAGTCCCAGGGTTGGCACCTAACTCAGACTGAGGCCTCAGAGGCTGCTTCCCAGAGCAGAGAGATCTGAATAACACCAGAGCTCTGGAACTCCACGGGTGAGGGGACTTCAACCCCGTGAAGAACGGAGTGGGGAAGAGTCCAGGCCGAAGGAGCAGCACGTGCCAAGGCACAGACATGCAGAAGCATGGCAGAGTCAGAACGCTGAGGGAGTCTGTGTCCTTGAAGTCTGGGGTGTAGCAAGGAATTGGTGAGAGGCGAGGCTGGATAAGGAGCAGTTGAGGCTTGTTTTTTGTCTTAAAGAAGGTGTGTTCCATCATGAAGGTAACAGGGAGCTATTAAGAGAATATTAGCAAAGGGATGGCTTAAATAGATTTGCATTTTAAAAAATTAGCCTGGGCCGGGTGTGATGGCTCACGCCTGTAATCCTAACACTCTGGGAGGCCGAGGCGGGCGGATCATTTGAGCTCAGGAGTTCGAGACCAGCCTGAGCAAGAGCGAGACCCCGTCTCTACTAAAAAAATAGAAAGAA